TTATAAATAAACTTTGAAATTAATGTATTATTTTTTATTTAATAAAAGAATATAAAATATTAATGTTAGTAAGTATTTATTAAAAATTTACCGGTTTCAAGATTATTATGAAAACAAATTGATTGATCATTTCCTAAAAAACTTTTAATCTATATAATCTTTCCGATTTAGACACAATTAATATTACTAAAATTATCTATTATAAAATCAAAAGACAATGATACCCTTATAAATTAAAAATAAAAAAAATTAAATAGAATTATGTTATTGATTGATGCTAGTTTGTACAAAAGGGAGCGATATTTGATCGCTCCTCTCTCTCTCTCTCTCTACTCTCTCTCTCTCTCTCTCTATATATATATATATATTATATATATATATATATGATATACAAATTTCTTGTTGTCGCTTCTTACGGATGAGGTATGACCTTATGCCGTGTCTCACGCGGTTTAGAATTTCGCAACAAAATTATGTGTTTGATTAAAGATTTTGTGTTCATCGTCAAACAATATCCTATTTATATTTTATTACTAAATAATATTTAAATGGATGCTATTTTTCTCCGGCAAGGACCATCAGTACATTTAGTAGTGGAGCTAGAAATTTAAAATCGAGGGGCTAGAAATTTAGTTAGGAACACCTTTGCGTATTACCGTAAGGACCACTCGGGTTAAAATGACACTTTAATTTAATTTAGGAAGTTGATATGGTCCAAGTCTAATAAATAGTCACTTAATTATGTTGGTTATTTAGATAGCTTAACACTGAAGCTCGAGTGCTTGGGCCACAAATTAACGTCTTCATTTCGATTGAAGAAATAATTGTTGGTTGTTTTCTGGTTCATTATTCAACATATGTTATAAAATTAGGAATTTCATCTTTTAAAATTCAAACAAATTGCAATATCTCAAGTTTTACATTAAACTAAATTAGAATTTTAGTTTTTTTATAACTTAAACATATCCAAGAGGTAAAATATTTTATATACTTACTTTCAAGTATTAATTATAAAGTATTCAACTAAACTAGCTAATTCAAATTTTAGGTTTAGAGATTGTCTATTTACTTCTTAATAGTTTTATTAAGTGGTAGCATCTGAATCATTAAGAGATAAAAATTGTTTGACAAAAAAAAAAAGTCTTGACTCTTGATGGTTTCTAAAACCCTCTGAATAATTTTATATCATGGGTCTCACTTAACCATTCAACGCCCTAATTTCATCGTAAACAATTACCAAACAATTATATTTCATTTTGTACTATATCATGAGTGCCTCTTAATCATTCTATACCAAAACATTTAACAACCGCCAAACATTTTCTTAGTTTCTCAAATAACAACTTAGATATATATAGTTTTTCTTGTTCTTCTTAATTAACTTGTTTTTCCTATTTACATGATTGTATCCCTTTATTTGTTGGGATTAGCACCGACCAACAATTTCTTAAGTAGAACAAAGTTGAGTGTGATTCAGGCTTAGGGGGATTCATGGGAATTTAAATTAAAATTTTAATTAACCAAATTTTTTTCACTGTCTAAGGTTTTCACCCAGTCCCCCTACTTCGTCATCTGTGACTGTGAGTACATTATTATCGAACTCTAACTTTAGCAGTTGATGAAATCACTTTTCATACCCTTTTAGCAATTGATTGAGGCTTTACTATCATAAATTAAAGTCGTAAATTTAGTCATCATCTAATATTAACTAAATGAATAACATAAATATAATTCCACCCATTATTCTTGTTACAACCTTAATTAACTTTAATATATAACAAATGTCCCTTGAACATAAAAGTGGAATAAACACAAATAAGTTCTAGGAAAATAAAAGCAGGGGACAAACTAAAATGAAGACGGACGAACCTTTCACAAACCCACCATTCCTTAATTACGTCACTTTTCAAGAATCAAAGACACCCAAAATGCGATTGAAGGCACCCACCTTTTATACTACTTTTTCTATAGTTTTTATTGTTCCCTTGGTTAAATATTGAATGCATATAAATACTTCAAGCCTTTATAAAGAACTCTGCAGTGTACCAGAGACACATTTCTTAATTAGATAGTCCTTTTCGTTGAAGGGTTTCTTTAATTTTCAAAGATTGATCGAATGATAGGGTTAGAGGATATCTACAAGGTGGTTGCAGCCACTGTTCCACTCTATGTGGCTTTACTTTTAGGTTATGGTTCGGTTCGATGGTGGAAAATCTTTACGCATGAACAATGTGACGCCATCAACCGGTTCGTATGCTTCTTCACCCTCCCTCTCTTCACTTTCGAGTTCACAGCTCATATTGACCCTTTCAAGATGAACTATCGCTTCATTGGTGCTGATGCCATCTCCAAAGTTATTATTGTGGTCGTTCTTGCATTTTGGACAAGGTTTAGTAGCAAAGGAAGCTATTGTTGGTGCATAACAAGTTTCTCATTGTCTACTTTGACCAACTCTCTTGTTGTAGGTGTGCCTTTGATCAGGGCTATGTATGGTCAAGATTATGTTGACCTTGTTGTACAGGGATCAGTGATCCAAGCCATCGTTTGGCTCACTTTTCTCTTGTTTCTGTTGGAATGTAGAAGATCAACAAAGACCGATTGTTCTGTCAATATTGCCACGGTTGAATTAAAAGATTTAGAAGGGAACCCAAAATCTTTAGATGATCATCAAGTCGGGGTTGCTAAGTCGTCGTTCATGTCATTGATGAAAGTTGTGTCTTTGAAACTTGCCATGAACCCTAATTCATATTCTTGTGTCATCGGCATCATCTGGGCAACTTTATCAAACAGGTATATAATCATAATCAAATTAATAATATACTTTTCTCTAAAAACTAATAATCTTCAATTCTAAACCCTAATATTTGCATATTTAAGATTAAAATTTCTTTTTTGACATTTCATTTAAATGAAATCATGCATAAATTCTTGTTGTTATTATATACAGGTTTAACTGGCCAATGCCGATCATGATTGAAGGATCAGTGTTGATCATGTCTAAGGCAGGGACAGGCACTGCAATGTTTAGCATGGGTAATTAATTATATATTAAAGCTAGCAAACTAATTAATACCTATTTAATTAATTATTTATATTACTTTCTGAATTTAATTTTCTGCATGGGTTTGGGAAATTGATTGAAAAAGTTGATGATGCATGCAGGGTTGTTCATGGCAAAACAACATAAATTGATAGCATGTGGAAAAACTCTGACTGTGATTGCCATTCTTCTAAAGTTTTTGGCCGGACCGGCAGCTATGGCAGTCAGTTGCATTGCCATGGGTCTACATGGGGATGTTCTACGTGTTGCGATCATTCAGGTCGACACTCGATCGCCAACCCCAGTTGATCAATTAATTAGCAATAAACATGGGAAAAATGGCTGACGTCATGCAATCTCGTTTTTTTATCATGTTTTTAATTTTACAGGCTGCCTTGCCACAATCCATCACCTCATTCATATACGCAAAAGAATACGAATTACATGCAGACGTACTTAGTACTGCGTAAGTTAGCGTTTTATTTAAAGATTATATATGAAAGTGGATTTGGTACATAACCATTAATTAAAAAGAATTGATGTTTGAATGTATTTGCAGGGTTATCTTCGGCATGATTGTCACTCTCCCAATTTTGGTTGGATACTATGCTGTCTTGGAATTTCTACACTGATTCCTTTGTGGGGTGCGAGCGACCTTGGTGGTTGTAATAGAAGGAGAATGGAATGCTTAATTATCAGATATCGAATAAAAAAAGGCATTTTCTAACAAATTAATTAATACGAGAATTCTCATTTTTATATTCATTCCTTAAAATAAACCAGACTCATTAAATTATATTGTATTTTAAATAACCAATAAAAAATGACACTATATATATATATATA